GGGAGGCTGTGGTAACCTCTGAAAATAGAACAGCTAAAAGAAAAAGAAGACATACAAAATGACAATTAGTCACATTAATTATATTTCATATAGGGCACCATATGCTGGTAGCTAATATACTTAACCACAAAAAAAATCAACTTTGTGGAAGTTTATGAGTCAACTTCTCTTATTTATTCTGCAGATAAATGACTGTGAAGGATGACCAGATGACCTGACTGAAAAATGTTGGATTGTATACCTGGATTATTGCGCATGGACTTTGTTGTTTTCAACCAGTTTGACAAGACTGTCAACAAGGAAGATGGCCGGCAATGGAGGAGGGGGCGTACCAAAGAGACCATCTTATCACAAACAGAACTGGTTTGTTCCACTTTGGAGTAAGCTGTTGGGGGAAGAATCAGTTTTGTTGTGTGTTTCCTTGACTGATGAAGCCTTCCGGATCAAAGGTGAAACGTTTCGTCACAAAAAAAAGAAACTGTCCAGATGACCTGACTGAAAAATGTTGGATTGTATACCTGGATTATTGAGCATGGACTTTGAAGGTGAAGGAGTTTGCAGGAGGGTCTTCCATGGGTGAATGCAGGAAGGAGCCCCAGGAGCACATGGTTTCTCTGGTGAACCACTATTAGCAAACATTAGTTTAGAAATTGTTAAGTGCAAGGCTTTTCTCAGAATTGTAATATTAGGTTCACTATGTGATGATTAACGCTTCAACTAAGAGTTGTGATGAAGCCCACCCTTATGCTCAGGAGTCCTAAGGTTATCAAGCCACAGGTGTGTTGACAGGGGCCAATAATGACCCCTCGACCTTACCCTGAATCTCAAGAGGTTAGTGGAGATCAGAAAAAGCTAGAGTCCCAACAAGAATCCAGTTTCAGAAAGGGTGAAGGAAGTTTGTTTCAAAGTGGTGCTGCAATGTTATTATAACCCAAAGACATTTTAGTGGAGACTAGAGTTGCATTCGGGCCCAAAAAATCCGGCCCCAGCCCATAGCCATCATTTCCGAACCCCACCTGACCCAACGAATTAACAGTAATTACAGGTCCGAACCTGAACACGCCCCCCCCTCAACATTTTTAATTAAGCTTTGATTGCTTATAGTTATTCGGACCGTAGTAAAGTTAGTTTTACGTTGGATGTTGGACATTTGAGCTCTGTGGCTTCAGTGGTGTGTTCCTCTCGTTCGAGAACGTCCATTTGGGCGATGGATCGCTGCCTGACAGTATAGACCCATCTGAAGTTTAACTGAACTTTATTTTACCTCTTTCAAGGCCAGTCAGAACGCGGTGATATGACCGTGTGCAACTGGTGAAAGTATGGCAAGCCATGGTGCTATAAAGTTGGATTTTATGGCAAGCCATGTTGCCATATAATTGGATCGCGGCTGATCCGCTGACAGTCAAAAGCCTGGCACTGACCCGGCCCGCCAATCCAGCGCATTATCATGGCCCGGCCCAGCCCGAATTCTGGTCAGGTCAGGCTGGGCTTCAGGCCCGGATTAGAAATGATAGCTCTAGTGGAAACCCCACAAAAAAACTGTGATTTTGTGATAAAACTTGCATTTATCATGTATATCTGTTACATTTTGGCACAACTTGTCATTTTTAGTGCCTTTTGCCAATCATTTTATTATCTTCATGATCAGATATCAAAGTAATTTTGTTTTTCAACTACTGTTTTTAAATGTTAAACATCACTTAAGTGAGCGGGGCTTCAGAAAACCTTAGTTTTAAATAAACTGTAATACCTTCTTTCCAAATATGTACAGTATAACTGTGCCAACTTATTGTGTAGAAATGAAATACCTTGAAGGAATGCATCTCACACATCACCTTTCATGGGCACGATATAATAGCTTTTGTTATAAATTATTACTACCACATTAGTGGTACAACCACATCAGTTTTAGCAAACTATATCTGATAAATTGATGGAGTTGAAGCCATTTTTGTGTTGGCTAAGTTCAATTAGCTGCAGTGATCATCTTGAATTGATTGACTTCAAAATGTAATCAATTGCAGAGACAAATTAACATATGCAGACACAGGTAAAATCTTTGACTCTGCAACAAGTTTTATGTTGTTTGCATCCATGTTTGTTCATGGTGGACATGAGGTCATACTGGATTCCAGTCATATCAAGTTGCATTTTCACACGCTGGATTTCCTGACCACAGGTGAGCTATAAAAGAGTTGTTGGGCCCGAAATGCCTCTACTTTTGTTGATTTGGCATTCACAGAGCCATTTTGCAGGGAGGAAATTCAAGTGAAGCACTACTCCTGGAGCACTGAAGGCTATTTCCCCTCAGTCAAGTGGCTGAAACCCTCTTCAGCTGAACAACTTCCTGCATTTAGTGAGCACTCCCACTGACACCCCTGCTCCATCATCCCCCTTCTGAGCTGGCATCAGGCACAACCTCTCAGCACGTCTCTGCTCCCTTCAGAAAAGTGACGAGAGGCGACAACTGCTTTGCTTAGGAATATAATACGGAACTAAATAGAAGAATATATAAACCACCAAAATGGGATTTTAGCTGTTTTTTAAAACTATTTCCTCAAACATATTATTATTCTGGTTTTTTTTCCTGAGTTGCTTTAATGGTTTCTCCTTTTTTTCATAATTTTTTAGAGCTGAGAAGAGTTGATTGGAGGGCTGACGGAGCTTTAAAGATGACTGTTGAAAATAATAAGTGTTAAATTAACTCTGAGTGCCAAGTCCCAGATGCTTCTACAAAGTGCTGATGTTTGTACTCTGAGAGCAATTAACCGTGCAAATCTGTACGCTGTAAAGGATCTTAACAAGAAAGAAAGCAAAAAAAAAAAAAATCAGCTCAAGCACGTGGACTAATTATGCAATCACCGAGCAACTGTTGTGATTACATGTTGTTGTTTTTTTGCGATTTTGCTTTTATTCACCTGTGTGTAAAGAAACGAGTCTAGAATAAATCATATATATATATATATATGTATGTTGGTTTGCTGATAGGAATGTCAGATCTGACAGTGATTTTAGCTTTGGTCTTTTATGGTTTCTGCAGGGCTGTAAGCTGAGGGTTCCCACTGGAGACCTGGACATCCTAAGGGAGCCTATTAATCTATTTTGTTCACCTCCAGAACAGCGTTAAGGACAACAATTGAATAGTATAGCTCGAGGCTGAGCCACAGGAGGCTACAGCTGCTTAGGACAACACTGTGTAGCTGGAGGGGCCGATCAGTGCCGTTCCCACATACGGAGAAATACAGTGATGGGGTCATGGGTAAAATGTCAGATTTAAATTTGGGAAAGCTGAAAAATGCTCTCATTACTGTAGTCACAAAGAACTTGAGCCATATTTTAAAATAACACTGTTGTTTTTAGATTAGATGTTTTATTTTCATTTTAGTAAAATGTTCTTGTTGTTTTTTTTGGTGATACATGATACGATGCCCCAAATGAAATATCTAATTTTTTTTTTAATTAATGTGCATTATTGTGTGTATTTTTCATGATCATTTTCTTCCTCTTCTTCCAGTTGTCCCTTTTTCAGGGGTCTCCACATCCTCTGTCCTAAATCCAACCACCTCCATGTACACACAGTGCATATATGTACTCAAATCTGTCTTTTTCACAACAGAAAATAAACTATTTAAAGCGTGCCGTTTCCTTATATAGGTCTTCTTAAAGTTATGTTAATCAAAGTGAGGATTTCATAATACCTCTACCCAGAAATTGTAATAGATCATTTAAATTTGATGTTATAATAATATAAACCAGCTCATCAAAGCGTATATTTTCAGCTACAAGACTAAAACAATTACCGTGATTTGTCTTTTTATTTTAATGACATCCTTGGCATATTTAACAACCAGACATGATTTTTTTTTTTTTACCTTTTCTTTCAATGTCTTTAAAATGTTGCAGGTATGAAGCCAAACAAGTGCATCTCATGAAGACATTATGGACAATAGAATAATTACCATGATCATGATTATTTTTCCCTGCATTTTAATTAGCTCTATGAAGTTCAATTAAGCTCTTCAGTGTGAGCGCCATTCAGTAAACAGCTGTCCACCTGTGTTTTGGTTCCTGGGAAAAGGCTGCAGTGCTTGTTCACGCCGCGGCACTAAACTGTGTGTGTGTGTGTGTGTGTGTGTGTGTGTTTGTGTGTGTGTGTGTGTGTGTGTGTGTGTGTGTGTGTGTGTGTGTGTGTGTGTGTGTGTGTGTGTGTGTGTGTGT